ATGTTTTCTAATGTCAGGACCAGTAAAGAGACTCTCTTTTGGTTTAATGGTTAATAAGGCTGGAAATTCGTCACAGATGTATTTCAAGCATTGGACCTTTTTGTAAGGCTTTAACAAATCGCTTCACCAAGGTTAACTTGAAATGTAAGTAGAAGAAGAACTTTATTCAGATCTATGAGAACCTTTCGGAGTACAATGTTGGTTCTAGGTTCTAATGAAGCCGTTTTGGGCCAATTTTTCTTCATCCAGTGCGCTTTTCTTTGTCTCTGCTGTCCCATTCACATATACACACACACACACACAACAAAAAAAAAAAAAAAAAAAAAAAAAAAAAAAAAAAAAAAAAGACAAGAAAACTTTGTTTAACCTTCTTGCTATCCTTGGAGCATCGATATTATTTTGAGATGGCCGCATGTAATTTTATCGAGATTATTAGTTTTATAACAATTATGAAAGAATTAATCAGGCCACATGATTGCATTATTTAATATTATCTAGAAAAAAATTCAAATCTTCATAACGCTTTTTTAAATGGATAGAATATTCGACTGGTATTGATGCATACATATTCCAATTGTAAAGACAAGCAGGCTTCTTTTGGAAGAATCTATGAACAGTCTCTAGTCGGTACTTTCGTATGGAATGTTAAATTCAAAAGTTCATGTACGTCAGTGCAGAAGACCATTCCATTGGAACTTTCCTGCTTCTGAAAAATATGGAAAAAAATACTTTTTTTCTGTGCCTGAACCAGGAAAGTGAAGTGGCAGCTGTGAGCAGGTTCTTCTCTTTAAGCAGTTCTGAATTTTCTTTGGTTAGATGAATGTCTTGGACAAAATCGTTTAATTCGGATCATCTCTGGTGTATAGGTATCACAAGGTTAGTGCTCTTCTATGTTATCTCCATTTGAATCATTTGCGGAACCATCTATTTCAGGTAAACTTTCTAAAAGAATTGGTGCTGGTACGTCTGGGCCAAGAGGAACTGAGCGTAAGCATTTGGATAGACTATTCTTTTTTATTCCGCATACAGAAACCTTGAATATCTGTGTAGCAAAGTTAACAATCATTTCTGTGATTTTGTGACTCTCGCCATGCAATTGGAAGGCTAAACCTGAAGCTTCTTATTCATCCTTTGACCATCGTCTCAGCTCAATGTTTAGTCTTCATCTACTACTTTCACGCCGAAATACACGAGGTACACTGCGGGGGGGGGTCAGTTCTATATCTCCTGTTTTACAGGGCCGATTGACGAAACTCAAACTGCGTTTTTCATGTGTCAAAAGCGCGATTTAGGCTATATATTAGATTTATATATAGCGCTGTTCTACTATAGGTATTTTGGCACAAAATCGGACTTTTTCAGAAATGACATGCCAGTTTTATTCCATATTTCAATTCGACGACTCAAATTGTTCCCAAATATTAAATTTTATAAAATTTGGTATGAAATTTACAAAGAAATTAAAAAATTTGTCTTGGCGGATTTTTTTTTCAGTTTGCGCAAAGAATAATTCACTTGGCAAACTTCTTAATTTATATAGCAACCTATTTTCCTTTCCTTTTATTCATTGTATACGAGCGGAAAAAAAGGTCACATTCATTACTTTCAAATAATTTTAATAGTGCGTGAGCCACATTTGGCGTTATTATCGCTTGTAACGAATATGCCAAATTTCAAAGCACGCCAATATGTAAAATTCGCATACATCTTAGGAAATTTTGAATAAAAAACAAATTTTTGCAGGTGCGCCTAGAAATACATCTATTTTAAGATGATGTTAAAAAATTTATAGATTATAATATAAATTGTTTTCGAAAAATTTATAAAATGTATTTAAAACTAAAAATTTTGAAAATAAATCATAAACAAATATAATTCTCATAATAAAATTAATAAAATTACATTATGAGAATTATATTTAGATTAAGCCTAAATTTCGAATTCTGAAAGAAGGAATCAAGTAAGTTTAATAAAAAAAGAGATATTAATAAATATATATCAAATTCAATTTACACTGAGGAGTTCAAATCTTGAGAGCTAATTTTTTAAAAACTAGTGGGGTGATTTTTATAAAATTTAGCAGTAACTTGAGTCGTAGAATCGAAATATGGAAAAAAATTGGCATGTCATTTCAGAAAAAGTCCAATTTTGTGTCAGAATACCTATATTAGAACAATGCTATACATAATTCTAATACATGTCTCAAGTTGCGCTTTCGAGACATGAAATTCGCAAGTTGAATTTCATCAATCGGCCAAGTAGAACGGGGACTTTTTACAGCTCGATGAAGCCATTTAGAAAACGGAAACTTGCTTTAAGGCATGAAAATGAATTTTCTATCAATGAAAACGCGTGAGATCACGGACGAAGGAAGAAACCCGAATTACGCAGGAAAATAGCTGATAGTCGATACAGGACTGAGAGTTGCGTGGTGCTTGTGTGGCGCGGACAATTGCCAATAAACATCTTAAGACTTATGATAACCAATCAAATCTCAGATAATTTCGACAGCTACTTTCGACCCAGGGCTAAAGAAACTTTCGACCAAGCTGTCGACTCCACGCATGCACTGGTCAATGAAAAGCCAACTCTCCCACCGTCTCTTCATCTTCTACTCAAAGCTATTTATAGATTCCCTAATTTATTTAAAGCGGAGAAGAAGCAAGGGAGACAGTTTCAAGGACTCAGTTTTCCTCTTAAAAATTAATGGAAATAAGTGAAAATGCGATTAAATAGAAAATTAGGCTTTATAGCAAGTTTCTTCAGAAAACTGAAGGGGTCAACGGACCCCTTCCCCAATCAGACCTCTCAACTGCTTTACTATAAGAATGCTTAATATAATCCAAATAAAGAATAACTTATAAGAACAAACTTCTTTATACGTATTTATTTTAAAGTCTCATATTTTCGCAAATTTTTAATTTTTTAAAAACATTGAAATTTGCGATTTGCGCAAATTCCTGACTGATTTTCGGATTCAGCGTTAAAATGTATAAGAATCAAATAAAAAAAGTTAAAAAACCCAGAAAATGCAGATTTTTGCCTGTATTTGTGTATTGTGCTGTATTTTACCTATACGTGTAAGCGTATAAGAGAATGCATGTACTTAACACTAATCATGTAAGCGTTTTGTGCCCATGCAGTTCTTTCATTCATTAAAATTTTCCATAGTACTCGTAGTTTTTATCTTTATGAAACTTGCTTTAAAAACTATCTGAAATTCAAAAATTAAGAATGAAAATGCCGATTTAACAAAAAAGGAAACAAAAAAGACCCAGCATTAGCAGTTTGGAATTTATTTTTAAATACAACGAAAGTTACAGATCACTACATGAGCTATCATAACCATGTTTTTAAGCCAAATCATATTATTAATGATGTCATCTGCACTTTTACCCCACCTTCTTTATCGTGGTGAAGTAACCTGTGCTAGTAATAACTTTGCCTGTTTGTGATGCAAACTTGATTCCCATCTGAATTGAAGGTATTTCTTATATAAAGGAAACAACTGAAAGGAGACTTTCAATTTTCAAACGGCTGGTGGGCTGCCGATGGAGTGTAACAGAGAAACTTTAATGTACATTCAACCATTATTTTATTATTGTAATTAAGTTTTTGTGACTGCTTCCAACAGTAGAGTAGACGTTTTCGCAAGATTATAAAATCAGTCTTCGCCTAATAATAGGTGCAGTTAAATCCACCCCCACAGCAGCTATGGAAGCGTTAACCAATATTTCTACTGTCATGTATGACATTCGCAAAAATGCTGCAGTTTTGTTTCAAAAACTTTGCAGGCTCCTAAGTAATAAATATTGGAAGAATTACAATTTTGACAATGACAGAAATTTTCTAGAGTCATTAGGTTAATTGGAAGCAGAAAAGATGAAAAATAGCAAACGCCTTCGCCGGGAATCGAACCACGGACCTCTGGAATACCGGCCCAGCGTGCTACCGTTACACCACGAAGGCACGCTAGAGAAGTGGGAGAAATACCTTATAATTTAATGATAAGTGGGCTTCGATCAAATTAGTTATCCATTAGCAGAAGACCTAGACCTTGTTCAAGAAATGAATGTAATGTGCTGTTCCTTTGTGTCCTCTTGATTACGATGACTCCTGTGTATCTTGAACTTAACAAGAAAACTACTAAGACTGAGATGCCCACTGCCTAAATTAGAGCCACTTCTTATGAAACTATTAAGAGAAGATATCCCAGAAACCTCTGGATCTATGACTGAGCGAGGTATTGGTATCTATTGTAACCAATTTGCATTCTTTAAGGCAGTGGAAAGAGATACTACCAATTTTGATGGTGAAGTTGAGGCTATATTTATTGCTCTGAATCAATTAAGAGCTCAAAAGAGTAATTTCCCTGGGGCTGTTATTTTGTCTGATAGTAAAGCCGCTTTGCAGGTTATCTTAATAAATTTTGCACTTCCGAACGAATTTACGAATGTAGAAAGATTCTCGACCCTCTGGCTGACTCAGTTGTCTTGCAGTGGATTCCTGCTCATCGTAGCATCGAGGGAAATGAAAGAGCATGTTTCCTGGCAAAGAAAGGAACGGCTATTCTATACACCACTAATAGTGGGGGTTTGCCTCTTACCTATCAAATGAAGGTAAAGGAAATACCTGGGAGTGTTTCACTAGTTCAAATCCAGTTATTCCAAATTTTCCTCGTCCTGTAGCCTTGGCTTATTTCATCTTTGCACTGGCCACGATTGTCTAAATGCCCATCTTTTTTAAATTCGACTTAAGGACTCTTCTGTCTGTACTCTTCGTAACTCTGGACAGTCCATGGATAAGGAGCATATTGACGAATGCACTGCACTATTACCTTTTAATTATATTGTTCTTAAATATTGGGAAGCAAGATCAAGGCTAACGGCTTAGTGGCCTATAGACTTGATCTGGCATTCGTATAAATAAATAAATGAATAAATAAATAAAACTTCTGATGTATATCATTTAGACTAAAATTTTATCAAACTTACGTCTAGTTTGTAGGTTGCTAAAGAAAGGAATCACAGCTCTCCTAGCACCTAGTACTTGCTCAGTGTGTTTCTCTGTTCTGGCTACAATTTCAAACGAATTTAAGGTACCTTTGATAATTCAAGAACTGCCCGAATTTCCCTTGGATGTATCGCCTAAATATGCTGTTGGAATTCGTCCTGGTACTACAAGAGCCATCCTTGATCTGGTTCGATATTACCATTGGCAAGATATTGTTTATATATATGACCACGATTATGGTGAGTTTGCATATTTTGCATATTAATAATTTTCCTTACAGCTACTAAAATTAAATAAAATAAAAACGTAATAAAAATAATAAAATAAAAACGTACTGATAGTTTATTGAGCTCTGATCTTTACATTTTTATGCATGAAAAGTGAAAAATGGTCTTAACAGCGAAAGGTGTAAGGTTCTTAAGAGCAAAATTTGTATTTGAACTCATGGAAAACAAGTATCCAGTTTAATGTAATCATAAATGAATTAAACCGCCTAAAATACTTAATGTGTTCCATCATTTTAATAATTGACAGAAATGTAACGTTAGACCAGAGGAAAAATATCCTAGTTACCGTAGGTCAGGACCTTCCAATCTTTTACAGGCATAGATTTCCCTAGATCCCATTTAAACTAAAATAGTTTTTTTAAACCTAAATTTGGTTAGCTGGTTATTTGAATACAGCAAATCACATGAGGGTTATCTGCTTAGGGACAGATAAGGACTTCGTATGGAAAACTGGCTTGTATCCATGCTACAGCTGCTGAAAACCACAAAAAAAACCAATTTTGAATCCAGCGGCAAACTACCAGTTTTTTGCGGTCTTAAATAATCGGCAGCCAGTGGACTCAAAATTATTTTTGGTTCTTTCGTCAGCGTTATATGAATTTAGGAATTTTTACCTAATTTTGTTCGTTTGATTGAAGCACATGAAATTGCGCCATAATAATTTATCATGTAAAGGTATTCTGCATATTAAATACACTGCAGTAAATACAATAATCAATCGATAAATTAATAAAAAATATAAGTAAGCAATAACAGAAAATTATATGACATTGCATAAAATATTTACTCGTAGACGTAACGAAATAAGGAAATGCAGATTTGGGGGGGAGAGTGATACGAAAACTTTCTGTTAATGGCAAGGCTGGTCTTGGTGGTCAGCTAATATTATAGAAATTTTAAGTCTTAAAATTTCATAAACTCTTAAATTGTCTCCTTCAATTATATTTAAACTACTTATGGATTTTCTTAATACATTACTAGGAAATGTAGCAGTCGGACGTACGTTAGGGTCTTTCGAAAAGCGAGGAGATTGTTGTATCCTATGAGCATGTGCAAAGCGATTAAGAGTTAACTCCGGTTTGGGACTTTAAATTGTGAGTAGAGCGGGGAAAAGGAAGATAAGCTAGTGTGCGCATTATGACTGTTACAACCGCATGATTTGTTATATAGTGTTCTGAATTTTTATTAATCTAAGAGAAATATAAACAAATATTAAATATAAATAAGGGGACATACATACATACATTTTATTCACTCAAACTTTAACTGTTCAATAAAATTCCTTGATTCTTCATCGACTCCTAAGTTTTTATCGGTCCTCAGTCGATTTATTCAGTTCCATCGGCCACACTTAAGAGCTTCTGATATTAAATTGATATTAAACGCTGTGGATTTCGTGGGACTATATTGGTTCCTCTGCTTCAGGAGGTAATTCCCCCCCCCCCGTGAATAAGACGGAGTTTTATAATCATCAGTACATCTAATCTAACTTTCTTCATCATCAGTACATCTAATCTAACTTTTATATAAACCGAAGGTTCTTTTTCGCCTAATTTAACATTTTGTAACGACGTATCTTTCCTCCGTGAGGAATTTTTGACGTTTAAAGTTAAATCAGTTTCTGAATATTTGCTATCAAAAGAGACTAATGTTATTTGAACACATAAAAATAAGTAGTTATTTTTTTTAACTATTCCCACATGCTTACCTTTTTATTCTTAATTTTTCAGCAAGCGAAAAAATCGCATTCAATTCTATTAAAAATTTTACTTAAATAAAATTAATTTTTACTGGAAGAGTGAGACATTTTAACCTTATCGTTAGCGCTAATTTTCAAGACAGAATTGGGCTTGCTATTTAGTATAAGATTCAAAAATAATAACTGAAAATATTAGATAACGTGAGATTTTGGAAATTCTCGTGATTACGTAATAAAAGCTATGCATGTATTTAAAAGAAAAGATTGGCTGTTAGATATCTGTGCAGTTATCTCTTCTTGCTACACACTTTGAAGAACGAATTCCATTCTAATCTTAACTACCGGAATATTGCATGCAATTTCAAGCTTTCTAGACAGAGAATTAAGCTTAAAAACCCTTTCCATAATTTTCCAGTACTTCTCTTACATTCGAGAGATCTTAATCTTTTAGAATAATACCATTCTTTACTTTTGAATTTATGACACTAGGTTTTCTACTAGGATATCTCCATATCCTAGTAGAAAACCTAGTGTCACAAATAAAAAACGCACGAAGAGTTAGGAAACGAAAAGTTTTGGACATTTCTGTTATGCTTTAAATACTAAGACAAAAATCACGTTTGTTGATTTAATTTTTCTCGTTAATTTCAGGTCCAGAAAATCTTCATTTTATGTATGCGCTTGGCTATCGATCATTAAAATTTCAACTTACTGGAATTTTGAAGGTGTCTTCCTCGGAAGATGCCAATAAATATCTTCGAAAACTAGATACTCCAGAGAAACATAGGCTTATTCGAGTTATACTTGACACCGAAACTGCTCTAGCCCGAGATATCCTTTTAAGACATGTTCATGATGTTCATGTACGAAAGAGGAATTTTCATTTTATCCTGTCGAAGCCTGTAAGTAGTTTTTAATTTTGTGCATATATTAAGCTTCTTAACTTATGTATTCCTGGTCAATAATTATGAGTCAGTAACCTTAAGTCAACAAGCACATTGTAATGTATCATATTGGAATTCCATAGTATGATAATTATTCTTCAGTTATATATACTAATTTCTGTTACATACACTGGCGTGGAAAACTTAAGGAACAATGCTATTTTTAAATGTTTCAGTTTAAACATTGAATAAAGTCTGCTGCAATATATAAAACTGTAGATCATAAGCCGCAAATAGGTTCTTTTTCAAATTCTGCAACTGTTGCCTCAGAGATGACGCTATAGGAGATAAAAAACAACATTCAGAAATTATTCAAAAACTTTCGAGAAGAAATTTCTGAACCTGATTATTACAGATGATCAATGAGTTTAATTCAAATTGCAGACAATGGAATGTCCTTTAGAAAATATCACATGATTTAACTAGCTGGGATAAATGCAAAAGTGAAAGGTACATTCCCCCACCACCATTATCGCAGTACGGTCGCGTATCATTTTCGGAGCAGCAGGCACAGTTTTTACACAGACTAAATCATGGTCAATAACCTATGAACAAAAGTACCTAATGATAATCGTTTTATAGACCTACAGGCCAAGAAAACCCGACACCGGATAGTGCAAATCACCATTAAACAGCTGCGTAGAACACGGGACTCAAGTTATCGTGGTTTAATGTGGCTAGACGATACTGTAAAAATTGTTTGCTCTATGGTTTGAATGCTGTCCGTACCTATCAGTTTTATTACTTACATTGATGCAAAGAACACTAAACCCAAGACAAACGCAGTGTCAAAGGTTATTTATTTTAATTGATGATTAAGAAGCAGGATTTCGGTAATCTTCCTGCAACAAAATTAAGTTGGATATTTTATATATAATGTATCCCAATCCAGACCGTTTCAAATGCACCTTATTTTCCTTAGTTTGCACCTAAGTCATTCATTTACACTTATTCGTTTCACTCTGCATTTATTTAGACCCTTAAAGCGTTTTTCATACTTCGGTTTCACGACTATACGACTATAACCCTGTTTTAATGCAGTAGACTCGGCCGTGACCTTCGTGAAAAGGTCTTAACGAAGGTGACGGCCCAGCTGTTCGAGTGCATTACTGGACTTTGCACATGAACTATGCATGCATAGACATTCGATGCGAATGCTATTGGACACATGCACACATAGTATAAAACATTTCCTAATTTTCCCAGATTTAGATAACTGTTAATTAGATGTTTAATTGTTATTGTATTTTTGTAAAATTTTTTCATTATACCGTGCTTAGCACTATTGGTAATGCTGATTACATACAGTCATCAGTACTTATATTCTGCTTATGTACTGTTTTTATACTAGGCATACCGAATGTGTATATTGTTATACTATGTATATATTGTTCATATGCTATGCAATTATGTTCAAACATGTCTGTATTTAGACACTTAAGTTCTATTCTTTAGCTAAGTCTTCTATTTTCTGTTATAACCTAAAGTATTACTGAAGCTACTCATTTGTTAATAACTGTGACAGGTATCCCCATGAAAAGGGCATTGATAATGCATGCAATATATGTACAGTAAACCGTGTTATGTTATAGGAAGTCAGTATTTAGATACTTGGTTTAAGTCTTCTTATGTACTGTCTTATACTATGCATACCGAATGTGTGTATAGTTACACTTTATACAGCTTTTACATTATGCAATTATGTTCAAACATGTCGGTACTTAGATATTCAGCGTAAGTCTTCTGCTATCTGTTATATTCTAAAGTATTATTAAGGCTATCCATATTAATTTGTTAATAACTGTGGCATGTATCCCCATTGAAAGGCCATTGATAATGTGTATAATCTATGTGCAGTAACCACTTTATGTGATAGCTATGCATAATAGCATAACGGTTTAGTAACGTCTGATCATTGTGCATTATTCTCAGGAATAGTTCCACGGAAATATCCACAAAGGCACAATGGTATTTTCCTAGAACTTTGGACTCTCCACTTCTACTTTTACTATGACTATGAACTCATTTAGTGATTCAAACACGAATATTATATATTATTACTATTATTGTCTAAAGTATATTATTGTCTATAGTAATCCCACCCCCCGAATAATCGTAGCATTCCTATGCAAGGTGACTAAGCAACAATAACCTCCCCTGTCCATGAAATTCTTCAGTGACAACGAATAAATTTACGTCTGTCGGTCCTACCCTGAGATTCTTCCACCGGACAAGCATCATTCCGCATGGATTTCTAGGACGGAAACCTGCTGCTCCGTGGCGTACAGTAGAAGTAGGCAGATAATGATTCGTGCCATGAAAGGATCCAGTTTATTTCTGGGTGGCTTATCAGTCTATTGGTATCACATTTCGGTATTATGCAGATCGCGTCTGCTAACGTTTTACATCGCAATCCATTTGTACTGCCATTTTACCACTGCTGTTCCTTACAGATTTGTGGTGAGACGACGTCTTAGTCATGGTACACACAGTACGTCCCTTTTCAGTGTTGACGCACTATACTGTGCAACATTTTTCAAGTATATTTGCTTATTCATTTTTTGTATACTTTGTGGGGTTCGAGACAGAAATTAATAATATACTCACGTTTGTTGCAGCTGCGATTTTATTGAATTCTGTTTTCGATCGGGATGTTAAGGCACATATATCATATATGACGATATTGTTTCTGATTTGCAGTGCGAATATGCAATTTGTTGATGCTGGTTCTTCTGACATACTTCTATGTCTTTGAAACTGCTGTTAGCACTGCTTGAAATGTGATATTTTTACTCATCAGATGGCCCTTTTACATTTTAGTAATCTTCTCCTTTTTGAGGCCATATGCGCAGTGTTTTTTACCTTCGATTTTAGGTTCGTGAGTGAAGGCTAAGTGAAAAGATGTTAAACTTCTCAATGTCTTCACGATGATGTGGATTTTGTGTTCTTACTGAGTTGAGGGACATTAAACACAAAAGTCCTAATTTTGTAAGTAGATTGGATTAAAACTGTTTCCAAAGGCATATAGTGAGACATTAAGCTACACGATATTTAATTGCTCCAGTTTAGGCCTTGATGTGCAATGGCTTCTTTCTGTTCATATTCTTAATGCTGAGGTGGAGGTAACTCTGTAAGTCTTAGATTTGTTCAGGAGGAATGGTCATTATAGGTTACTAAAGAAGACATACCATTTCTATTTTATGTGGGAAACAAGCCCATGCGTGATAAATATAACCATCTGGCGTCATAGATATTTTATATAAGTATCTATCGACAAGTGACGGTAACTGCTAAAATAAACTGAAAAGTATAAATTATAGAGATTTTAACCTGGTTTTGATTGGTTTGTAATTTATACGAGAAAGTACAAAAGTATGAATACAAAATTCAGTGAATGTTTTCATAAGAAAAAGATTCTTATCTAAATCAGAAAAAAGGCTTTATATGCCTCCTAAGTAATGTCTGTCGTCTGCAATACACTTTTGATCATGACTGTACAGTCACCGTAAAGTGGGAGTAAAATCCACTTTCTGTATCGCACGGGGAATTCTCGTCATATGGCTTTGAATATCTAGAATGCCCTAAATCGTTCTCTTTTGGGGCTAGTTTTAGGTGCAGGAACAGAAAGAAATCTGCTGGATCAAAATCAGACGAGTATGGTGGGTGATCAAGAATTACAACTTTTTCTAAAAGCCATAAACGTTTTTACTACGGTAACCGAATTCGGCCTGCGTTATCACGCTGAAGACACTAGAAATTACCAATATATTACTAAATTTAATTCTACACAGCACAATAAATAACAGGAAACAGCTTGAGTAGAAGGAAGGTATTAAAAAGTTCCTCCATAGAGCAGCAGAAATATCGTCGATTGCCAAAATCACACACACAGTAAGCTCGCAGCTCAGCTAACGCTAAATCTAGTAGCTGAATAACAACTAATTACAATAACAGCAACAACGGCAATGACTTGCCCAAGCTCTCTCAGCCGTATTTATATAGTGTAAGACAGGGTACAGGTGTGCTGTAGTACATGCTCCTGGAAATTTCGGAGACAATCTGTCGCCAACGCCTGCGGGATGCGCATCTGCTCATATTTCGGGTTTCATTTCAGCTATTTTGGGGGATTTGAACGTTGCCACACTTAGAGTGTAAGAAACAAACATTATATAAAAAGAAAATGTGGCAACAAATAAATTAATAATTAATTTCACAGTATTATAACAAAACAATAAAGATGATGCATTACAGATATCATATACAATATCGCCTTATTTTTAAGGACTGCACTTCTCGAGCAGTGCAATCTTTAAGACAAGGGGCAACTAAGCGTCATTACTTTGGTAAAACGCAAGTCTATTGTAGTGCACTACTTAAGGTTTAGAAGAAAGTGTTCTTCGGATACACAACACTATGTAGTTCAGCTTCTTGATCGCATAGAAGGGCCCTTCCCAGGATGTCTGCGGCTTGGGTAAGATCCCTCGATGTTGCTTGGGGTTACACAATCAAACTTGATTGCGATCCGTTGGCTTGGTATCGTGTCTCATCTCCATCCTTTCGGTCGCCGTGTTGATCATCGTATAACAAAAACTGTTCCCAGGGACACTTACGGGAATGCCTCCTAAATGTTTTATGTTTAAAACTGTGTTTATGCATCCTCTTGTACTATTTCGTAAAAAGAAATAACTGTATTCTGAAATGTAAAAGTGTGTGTAAATAAAACCATATTGCAATATTAAATATATAACAAATATTATAATATAACACAATATCATACATACATGTACAATTAGCACAATCCATACAAAATATACACAATATTCAATACACTATGTGTGCAAGGTCTTTATTTTACACTAACCAATTATTAGGTTGTCCGGAAAATAATGCAAGTTTTTAACATATATCTTTAAAGTATCATAACTCGACTCAAAAACAATTTTATTAATCAAAATAAGCACCAGCCGAATCAATGTATTTTTGCCAATGAGATTTAAGTTTATTTATGCCGGTAGAATAAAATTCTGGAGTTCTGGACGCGATAAAGTTGTCAAAGGCGTTTTTGACCTCGTCTTGGTTTCTGAAGCATTTCTTCTGCAGAATGTTATCCAGATGTTTGAAAAAGTGGTAATCGGTCGGCGAGAGGTTAGGCGAATATGGGGAAAGAGGGAGAATCTCGTATCCCAATACGTCCAATTTTCTGCAGGGTCAGTTGCACGACATGCGGCCGAGCATCGTCATGGAGAAGAATTGGCCGCTTTCTGTTGACCAAATGCCGAGCACATGCGTTGCAATTTTTGGTGCATTTCGTTGATTTGCTGACAGTACTTATCTGCCATAATCGTTTCGCACAGATTTAGGAAGCTGTGATAGATGAGACCGGCCTCAGACCACCAAACAGTCACCATAATTTTCTTTTGGTGCAAATTTTGGAAAGTGTTGTGGTGTCTGACCGCGGTCCAACCACTTAGCTGAATGTAGCCAGTCGTTGGAGAGAATCCACGTTTCATCGCACGTGACAATTCGATCAAGACAAGGTTGTTTATGTTGCGGAGAAGAAGAGCAGACGACACTTCAAAACGGCGACTTTTTTTATTTTCGCTCAATTCGTGAGCACCCATTTATCGAGCTTCTTTGACTTTCCTATATGAGTCAAGCGATCAGAAATCGTTATTTTGCTTACGCCAAGCTCTCGAACAGTTATGCACGGGCTTGTTTCAACCTAAAGTCTTCAAAACATCGTCATCAACAGCTGAAGAGCGTCCACGATGCTCTTGAGCTTCCAGGTCAAATTCTCCACGACGAAACTTTTGTTATCACTGTTGAACTGTAGATTCATTAACACTTTTCTCACCCCATACTTCGTTGACATTTCGAGCTGTTTGTGCTGCGCTGTGGCCTGGCTTGTACTCATAAAAGTAAATTTGCAGAAAATCCCGTTTTGACATCTAAACAAAAACACCTAGTAAATATTTTTGAAAATAATTTTCGAACAAATGATTGTTATAGAAATATAGAGCGAAAATAGAGCTTCAAAATGATATACAAACCAATGTAATTCAAAATATTTTTGTTGCTAAAAATGCACAGGAAAGATAAACAATTTCAAAAACCTGCATTATTTTTCGGACAACCTGATATTTTTAGTTTTCCTTTCCTTCTCTTCTAATTTCAGTTTCCTGCCGGAATGTAAATTTATTATCACGTAGTTGCTAATCTAAACGTGTTTCAGGAGCAGTATTTAAGCTGTGTTTTAAGGAATATTAAAGGACTTAGTTTCGAGTTTATGCTGCGTGTTTGAAATTAGTTCTCTAGTCAGTGTTAGACACCTTTCAGGTTCATACTGATATTTCTAGGCTCGGCTTTGCTGTATGCAGCCGATTTAGCGTTAAGTTAAGCTAAGGATCCAGTCGTTACATATCTCAATTTATTAGTGATTTGTTACATTCTTATTTTCTGTTAAATTTATGTTAGCCACAAGTGGCGGTGATTTGTGAGCACCAAGTCCGTGCATCTGTTTTAATTTAAATAAAAAGGTTATTTGAAACCTTCTTCTGCAATATTTATTCTTCAAGGCATAGCAAGAATTCACTACTTCATCTTATACATAGATTCTACGGTATATTGCACCAAAGAGAACCCAAAGACTTTATACGAGGAATACAAAAGTGATTCATGTCACCATGTTTTACAGTCCTTCAATATAGTCGCCAGCATTGTGTACAACTCGTTTCCAACGATGTGGAAGTCGCAAAATACCTGTAGCAGCGCCTGTTTTGTTGATAGTTTGAATGGACCGGTCTACTGCCGCAAGAATCTCAGGAACAGTTTGGAAGCGAGTGCCACGAAGTGGTTCCTTCATCTTAGGAATTAAGTCATAGTCACAAGGGCTTAGGTCTGGGGAGTATGGTGGATGGCAAAGCACTTCCCAACCCCATCGCTTGAACAAATCAGTCACAGCTTGCGCTGCATGCGGCCGAGCATTGTCATGCAAAATGAGAGGAGCGTTCTGCAGAAAATGTCGCCGTTTTTTTCTCTAAGCTGGTCGGAGATTGTGCTCCAAAAATGAGCAGTAATACTGCGCAGTGACGGTCTTTAGTGGGGGAACGGTACGCGTTAGGATGACACCATCACAGTCGTACACGAGAATCACCATAACTTTCACATTGCTAGGGTTCTGACGAAATTTCGAACGTCGTGGTGACCCGTGATGACGCCATTCGTTTGATTGGCGTTTCAGTTCTGGCTGGTACGATCGGGCCCAAGTCTCATCCAGCGTAATGATACGGCGTAAAAAAGCATCTCCTTCGCGCTCATAACGCTCGAGGTGGGTTCGGGCAGCATCGTATCGTAGCCATTTCTGCATTTCCGTCAATTGATGTGGAACCCATCGTGAAGCAATTTTTCTCATGGACAGGCGTTCCTTCAGAATGTGCAGCACAGTCGTATGCGCTAATCCTGTTTGTCCGGCCAGCTGACGAATCATTTGGCGGCGATCACTGCCCATTAGAGCGGCAACAGCTTGCAAGTCTGTATCGCTGAGACTCGGACGACCTGGCCGCAGCATGTCTGCCACGTTTTGGCGTCCTTCATTGAAAGCTTTCACCCATTTTGCTACGGTTCTGTAAGGCAATGCAGATTTTCCGCAAGCCTCTTGAAGCCCTTGATGACACTGTCGTGCTGTACGACCTCTGGCACATTCAATTTTTATCCAACATCGTTGTTCTTGTTTTGAAAACATCCTGAAAACACTTACTTTAGACCGCGAGCTAATACAAGGATTCGTTCACATGCGCGTGCGCGTGCGTGGATCACTCCGCATGCGCGTGACGTGGGCAGGACGAGTCTTTTTGCTGAGAGATAAGGTAGGTATGTAGTTTACGTGTGGTATACGCGGTATTCTTTGGTTTTGCTGCGTAGCGTTTTTTCAGCTGTGTTGCCACTATTAAAGTTCCAACCCTCGTATGTGCAGCATGTAGAATATTCAGTAAAGCTGTTAAAAAAAAGGACTTTAAAACCAGTTTAATCCTGGTAGTATTCCATTTCAGTTGTTAAATGTCAATTTAACATTCTGTTATCAATAAAATAACATGAAACATAGAAATAACTCCAACAATGTAAAAAAATGGCGATGCAATATTTAGTAGCATTAAAGTAAGTTCTAAAGATTTATAATTTGAAGTCAGAAGATTTCAAATTTTGCGAAGCGAAATATATCAAAATAAATAGAAATTTTTATACTGTTTAGATATGCATATAAACTGTGATTATTGAGTAAATTAAATTTATTTTGAAAGACAAATGCACGACAGATATATGATGTTTACTTAGCCGTTATTGTTGAAAATGAGACTTCAAAAAGTTGCAAATTTTATCTCTTCTAAAATAATTATCCACTATTTATAGGAGTTACGTCTAAGTCTGTGCGTCCAGAAGCTCTTTCAAATGTGTATGAAATTTATAGTCTAATACAAATTCTTCTGCTGTTTACAAAAACGCCCTTTATAAGCTCATCAAAAGGTAACCAACTGATGTTTTAGTACAGGGTGAAGTCACCAACCAACTTCTTATAATCAATGGGAATTAGGTGGTCTGTACTTGCAAATATGTTTACAATATTCCTCCGTACACTTACCAAATACTTGTAGAAGCCATGTGACGATTGCAATGACTTTGCGTACCAAATGTGGAGCAGCACAGTATTACGAAGTGGTTATATTTTGGCTGGTCAACGTGTTTTGCGATTAGGTTACATTTTGTAACTAAACGTTTTATAACCTAGATATAATTTGTATTTTTACTCGGTATTCTCCATGTTAACAAGGACTTTTGGAATTTGTGATCTCTTCTGTAGCTGCATTCTCCAAGTTTTGGAAAAGTTCTTTTCGACAGAGGTTTTTGCAACTGGTTTACCTATAAGCTTGTCATTTATCAACCAGCTGTATTTTCGGATAAATTAAGTAAATATTTATCTCTCGGAATCCTGACATTTTTAATCAGTAGTTTGTATAATTCCTGCCAACGATTTTCATGTCTTACTCTTATCATGTATTTTACTCCCGCTAATAACTTTAAAGGCATAGTTTAAATTAAATCCATACCAGAAATGCTTACTCAAGCATCAATGAAGAGTTAGCACTCTTGCTTTTGTAGAAAAGTACTGAATACTTTTAATATATGTGTAATGAAGGAAATAAACACAAGGAACGTTAAAGATATAGTTTGCTAGAAATATAGGTAGTAAGACAGTTTACTAGAAATATAGGTAGCAGTTATTAGACTGATTCCGGCTGTTGTTATTAGCAATGCATTTGAAACGTAAGCAACTTTTAAAAAATTAATATTATGGTAAAATGTTTGAAGTGATAAAAATTACGTGGTTAATTAATTCTATAAAATTTTAATTGCATATGTGTATACTTCTTGTTCTTGGATGATTATTTAACTTAACTTTGCTTCATAGACCTTGGAAGAATTCTGGATTTCTCAAAGAGCAGAGTTAGGAGCATTAAACGTTACTGGATTTCTGGCTGTTAACCCAAAGCAAAGTGAAGTAATGAACTTTGAAGAAGGATGGAAGCATCAGCTTTCTAATATGGCAGACACGAGTTTAAACATGAATGTAAGAAAAATCTTTTAATATAGTATTGCTTAATATTAATATTTAATTATGCGGACAACAATCAGTAGAAAAAATTGTCTTCAATACTTGTCTATGATATACTTAGAAAAGAACAGTACGACTATAATGAGCAAACAATTAACAAATATAATAATTTGGTAGCAATACTAGTAATAATTAACGAATATAACATAGATTTAAAGGTTAGTGTTTAAGTACTGTTAGAGTTTTAATTATTTAATAACAGCGGAACAATCATATCAGCTCTTATATTTAAGTATTCAGATATGAAAGCAATTGCTTGGCAGTTAATTGGCAATAAATATCGCAGCCATGAATCAAATTGCTCACCACGGGTTAAACATTAACCGTTACATCAGAGAAATAAAAGTCTTTCATACATGAGGAGCATTTAAGATACAATTCCACGCACAAACAAGAATCATTAGCAAATATTTTGGTACTGAAATTTTAGTGCCGGCTTATACACGAGTTCAAAAGGATTTACAAATAACTTGATCACAAAAATGATATTATAAGTTAAATGATTGATGACATATTATTTTTATTTTATTAATTCTAATACACATTAATCAATTTTCCAAATGTCGGTATTCAGCTCACAATTTTCTAGCAATTCTTGGAAGTTTCTCTTTGTTAGAGGCAAGTCCAGTTGAATATCATAATTCTTCATTTCATCATTAACATGGTCATCAGCGGCTTCACAGATAATATTAGGTCTTATTATTCTGTCCATAGCATTACTAATGAGTTTTTGTTTGAATGATCTTGATGATAGTTTTAGGCAGAATATCTGATCACACTGTTTTCACCAACTTTGAGATCGTTACTTAATAGATATCATTTCAGGTTTCTTTGTCCTTATGACTAGGTTGCGTGCGGATGTCATCTATTTCGTTTATTTTCCCAAAGGTTTTCTTTAAAATACTTACTAAACGATAAAACTGTGGCTGCAGTATATAGGTAAGGCTGCCATGAATCAAACTTCCAGATGACTTCATTTACCATTATCTGTCCTTCACTTTCTTGGTGAGATGTGCTTGAAATGAATCCCACACGAATAAAAATGATTTTTTAAAAAAAGGGCTTCTTTCTCTCTTGTTATACACTTTGTTCAACCATTCCCACGTGCTGTCCTCGTCCATCACGTCTATGATATGGGCATGTACCAATATGTCATTTAGTAATATTTTAGGTAATGCTTTCTGCTTAAAAATAAATACAAGGGTTTAAACGTGAACCATTCGCCGTCCACCAAAAAGCAATAATGAATTTTATGCTCTCATCTTCAATCATTTTTACAAAAACTATCTGCCTCATTGTGTGATTCGATGGAAAATCAGAACGAATTAATGCCTTGTCTTTCTTTCCAGTTAACGACATTTCATAGTTATAGTGCTTTGTCTAATACGTTTTCCAACTGTTTCAATTTTTTTTCTAATCATCTTGGCTGTTTTGGGCTGAACTTAATATCAGTTTGTAGACGCAAGCTGTATCGTTTCATGAAATGTTGCACCATCCCAGAAATTCAGTGTCTTTTGTTCCATTTAGAGCCTTGACTTTGATAGTAAATGCTCATTACAGTAAATTCTTTCTGCCATGACTCAATGATTCAGTGCTAAAGTTTCTTCTCTAGTTCAAGAAAGAATGATAGTCTATACGCAGCCCTTTTTATCAGACTTGTTTTTCATTGATCAAAAAAGGAGGAGAACCTATAGAATTATCAGAGTGTTACAGCAATATTTTCTTGTCTGGGCATCTTGCACTGTTTAGCAAAAATGAAGAATTGTTATTTCAATAGTAAAAGCGAGAGAACAGCTGAGGAAAGGATTGAGGATTCCTTAGTGATTTCTTAAGAATGGTTACCGCAACTGATAACCAAAGAAAAATTCGCAAAACTTTCCGCCAAAGCGCCAAATCATATGCATTTCCCAAAGCTGAACGAACTGAGGAACTGTTGGCACCAGATAAGCCTTTTCCTTCTACAATGTTGCCACCCCTATTTTTCGAATGAGTAAGTACTTGGCATTCACATTCAGCTCGTCTACAGTTGACCAATTACGTGCCATTTGGCGATATATAGCTGCTTTGGTTCCGTTTGGTTTATTTGATTAGGGAAAAGCACGCAAGGGTATCTGCATAAAAGTAGAAATGTCTTTGTGAGGAAATTCTAAGGAAAAATTGTTTCGTGGAGGAATTCCTAAGAAAGAATGGCTTGTATCCACGATACACATGGAAAAACACGGAAACGCCAATACAATCAACCTGTTTACCTAGAATCGAATTCAAGTCGAGCTACCAGTAATATAACTCTGGATTCATGCGGAGAATCCTCTTGCCAAGATACCAGCTCATCATGGTGTGTTAGCAGTGCAGGAAGGAAAGAGATAAGCGTCTCGTTTTGATTCTTAGATAATCGCTGTTGCTTAGTTACAGGAACTTATCTGAGCTACTGCTCACTTTTCTGGAAATTTTAGGAAATCTATGAGGCTGCTAGAAAGCACAGAAAAATCTGCTCGATACTAGCATTTAAAAAAAAAGTACGAAAGTATCATCTTAAATTCGGCCAATACGCGAGTTTCTATTTCTGGCTGAATTTCTTGCAACAAAATCATGTCACTTGCCTTATACATGGATCGGCTTATATTCGAAAATATACGGTTATTTCCTTCCTAATTAACGAAATTATCTTCCTAACTAATGAAAAGGCATACTGACACGATATAATATTTTGTGTTTACTGAGCTGCACTCATTGTTGTTACATCTTTTGATTTACTCTGAAGAATATTTCAGCAAACATTTGTAATTGGGATTCATTAGCATTCCATTGCTTAAACCGGTGCGTATCTTGTGAATGAATTTAAAAAATTCTACAAATTACAATATGAGAATGCATATAAATGGCTCTGTAAATCGAAAATTAAAAAACTGAGTCGTTTATCTCGCAAAAAACATCAAAAATACCAAATATAACATTCTACTATACACTGGTTTCCAAAAATTAAGGAAAAATCACAAAAATACCGAAAACTTGTTCAAAAATAAGTCAATCCGTATAAAATTTGAATATGCTGTTAAATAAACGTTGCTGAGTAAAACTGCGGTAGACAAATTAGTGACGCTGCAATCGTAATACATCATCTGCTAGGAGCATAAAATTGCATGTTTGAGAGCAAGCCTGCAAATTTCGCTCTGATACTGAGATAAGAAATCTGGGATATCCAATTCGTAACAATGCCCTCTAGGCATCATTTGCCAGATGAACTGCGATGGAGAACTATTGAGAGACTAGAAGCAGAACAAAATCAAACAGAAGTGGCTAGATAGTTAAATGTGAGTCATTCTGTCGTTCATAGATTTTGGCAACAATTTCTAACCACAGATTTGGCAACCAGGAGGTTCAGCCAATCACTACGACAAGCGTCAATGACTGATATTTGCTGTTATGCACGCAAAGGACTGGAACCGCAACTCCGACTCATCTCAGATCCTCCCTTGCTGCAGCCATCGGAAGGTTAGCGTCAACGTCAACCGTGAGTGGAAGGCTTCACAAAAAAGCCTGTACAGGAAGTGACCAGTCATTTGCATGTTGCTCACCTCACGTCATAGAAGAGAACATTTGAGTTGAGCACGTCAGCATGTCCACTGGAAGGCTGTTTATTTACAGAGGACTTTAGGTTTAGCCTCCAAAGCGATAGTAGGCGTTGTTTGATTTGGAGAGAACCTGGAACCCGTTTTGATCCATCAAACATCCGTGAAAGAGATGCATACGGAGGGAGCAGTGTCTGTGTTTGGGGTGTTATCTCTTTGGTTGGACGTACAGACTTACATGTCTTTCCACGTGGAACCGTGAATGCTCAAATCTATAGAAATGACATCCTTGATGCTTGTACGTGTCTTTATGCCGGGGCAATAGGTGATTATTTCCTGCTACAGGACGACAACGCTAGACCGCACAGGAGTCTCATCGTGGATGTTTATCTTCAGCAGCAAACAATTCAACGCATGGAGTGACCAGCTCGATCAACGGACCTGAATACTATGGAGCATGCTTGAGATGCTTTAAGAAAACGTATAGCTTCTCTTAATCCTTCTCTTCAGATCCTTGCCATGCTTTCAACTGCTTTGCGAGAGCATTTCTTACGAAACTGATAGACAGCATAATTGAACAATTGCACCATCGCTGTATGTGCTACATCACTTCTAGAGGAGATCATACTCTAAATTGAAGGTAACTTTCCAATGCCAAACCGACAAAACCGATTTGTTTAGTTTATATGTATGCTAATTTCTGGGTCCATGACACTTAGCCGACGGGACACTTAACCGACAGGACATTTAGCCGACACGGACACTTAGCCAACAGGTCATTTAGCCGACACGGACAATTAGCCGACAAGACATTAAGCCGACGCGGACAGTTATCCGATAGGACATTTATCCGACGCGGACAGTTAGCCGACAGGACATTTAGCCGACAAGGACACATAGCCGACAGGACATTTAGCTGACAAGGACACTTAGCCGACAGGACATTTTGCTGACACAGAGAGTTAGCCGTCAGGACATTTAGCTACTGGACGCTTAACTGTCAAGACATTTAGTCCAGAGGTTACTAAGCCGATAGTGACGTTTAACTGACACGTACCCAAACATTATTTAAACTATCAATTACAAAATTTCTCGACTACTCCATAAGTTCAATATTAAGTCGGTTTTTTCACCTATCAGTAAAATTCATTTTTCGATTCTTAAAGATCTCATATATGATGTTAATTATTGTGTTAATTTAGCATTGTTTGATATGTATTGTGCTGTTTGGTGTACATTGGTAAAATTGAAAAAGCGCTGAAATTTCTCGTCAGGGAATATGAATTAAATTTCGAAAGGAAAAAAGAATTTTTTTAGTTAAGTACGGCGGTCACTTAAATACATTTTAATATGATCTTCAAAAATTATCCGTAAAGCTAAACCAAA